ACGGGGTTTCACCATGTTGACCAGGATGGTCTCGATCTCTTGACCTCGTGATCCACCCGCCTCGGCCTCCCACAGTGCTGGGATTACAGGCTTGAGCCACCGCGCCCGGCCCCCAGATTTTTTTTTTAAGAGACGAGGTGTTGCCTCATTGCCCAGGTTGAATGCAGTGATTATTTACAGGTGTCATCAGAGCGCACTGCAGCCCTGAACCCCTGGGCTCAAATGATTTTCCTGCCTTAGCCTCCTAAAAAGCTGGGACTACAGGTGCACACCACCACACACCTGCCTCTGACCCCTAGATTTTTTGCCATACACCCAATCCCTTTCCTCTACCCATGAGCAGACTCTGCGGGGGTCTTAATGGCATCTACAAATTCAGAATCTTCATTGAGGTCTAAGAGTATAGGCCTAGATTCTGTGGCATATCACGAATCTCCCTGCAGAGTATCTGAGCCAGCTCCCACTCCTCCTGCCATCGGCACAGCTCCCTAGAGCCCACAGCTGCTGGGTCCATGGCGTTCCTCATGAGACATGCGTGGAGGCTGCATCTCTGCAGCTCACAGCTGTCCCCTCCTCTCCCACCGCCAGCCTCACCATCGCCTTGCAGTCCTCAACGTTATTGCTCCTCATGTCTTCCAGGCTGCTGTTGACATTAATGGAAACTGAGGTGTCCTTGGAGGAGGCAGCCTATGCCAGGGAAGACAGGGGATGGGAAACAGCTATCCCAGCTGCCATGACAGCGTGTCACATAGGCCTTGGTGATGACCCAGTGTTGGGCAGGTAGCCGGGCCAGGACTGAAAGCTGTGGGACCCGGGGCAGCCAGGCTGAAGCTCCTGGAACAGCCATGAAAGGGAAGAGGACTGTGACGGTTCACACTGTCACTGGTTCAGACGACGGGAGAGAAACAAAATTCCACCTAGAGTCCAGACCCGCTAGGGAGGGAAGCAGGGTCCCTGGGAGCATGAGGGAGAATGGGGAAGGGATGAGGAGTGAGGATGAGTGAAGAGGCCAGAGGCCAGGAGAAAGGCTGGGGCAGGGGGCAGGGGTGGGGAGCAGAGCGCAGGGGACAGCCAAAAGGGGCCCTGCCTGTTTCTGAAGCTTCTTGTCTTTCTGCAGTTGCTTCAGCTTCAGTTGCTCCTGCTTCTTGAGCAACTTCTTCTTCTGGGAGATGAGGAGGTCGACATCCACACCGCACTGGAGCCAAACGTCAGAGAAGGAGTGGTGAGCTCTGGGGGAGCTGGGGCCTGACACCCACCCTGGGGACCCTGCCTCACCCTCTGCTTCAGTGCATCACTGTAGAACTCAGCGTTGGCAAAGTAGACGGTGGCTGAGGAGCGGAAGACCTTCACCCCTGGAACTTCTTTGGCCTGGGGATGGGGCAGAACTCGTGGGGGCTGGATCTCTCCTCTCCCGGCTTCACCCTGTTCTCCTGCCTTTCCTTCCCTAGCATGCCCAGTGTCTGTCACCACCTACGCCTCTGCTCCCCAGCCTAGAGTCCAGGCCCTCCCAGGGACTTGGGCCACTAGCCCGGCAGTGTCATCCCCATCCCTCCACCTCGCCTCTCCCTCCCCACCTCTCCTGCCACCACCCAGGCAGGTTTCACAGGCTCTTAGCCCTTCTCTTGGGGTTCCAACCCCTGCCTTTTGGTCTGTTTTCTGCACCCAGACAGAGATCCTCCTAGGCTGTCACCCCAATCAGACCTTCCCCAGCTCACACCCCATTTAGGTCACAGCCCAGGTCTCTGCTGGGCTCCAGGCCTGCATGGTGCAGCACCCCTCTTCTACCTGGCTGGGCTCCTCCTCTCCCATGTCTCAGACCCCTTAGTTCCTCCCCGCACCGCCTAATCGCACTGCACCCATGTTGCAGGGAACAGCCTTGTTTTCTTCCAGAGCCCCCCACCTATGGTCCCAGCACTTGGCCCAAGACCTCTCAGGAGGTCAATGGATGACCGGGGATTTAGTAACTCCACTGATCAGATCAGGAAATGCTTCTATTCCATCTTGGTGGCCCAGGGAGCTGCTGCTCTGGCTCTGTCTGACCTGGGACTGCTCTGCAGGTAGAGCTTGGGCTGTTGACTCCATGACAGACCTCTCCCCAGCCCCATCTCTGTCCACTCTCCCTCTGTCCCTTCATACCTCTAGAGGGGATCGTAGACCCCATCTCCTCCCTTGAACTCCCAACAACCAAAGCCAAAGTGTCCTCAGCCCCCAGTGTCCTGGTCAAGTGTGGAACAGACCCACAAAGGCCCATTCTTTCTTCGTCTCCCCTTCCATGCCGTCCGGCTCACCTCTGAGTACTCTGCCACATCTCTGTAAATATCTGTGTCTGGCACCTGCCCCAGGATAGAGTAGTGGGGCCTGTGGAGGAGAGAGAGAATGAATGAAGAGGGGACAGAAAACGGGTACAGCAGAGAAGTCTGAAGAAGCCTGAAGTCCCTGGATATGTGCGGAAAGCTGGGGGGAACCCTGTGGCATTCCCCCACTAGCTGGAATGAGGCGACCAACATCGCGAACTCACCTCTGCGTCCGGACCACCACAAGCAGCAGGGAGAAAATGACTGCAGCCACCAGGCCAAGGTCCAGGTTCAGCAGGATGGTGGCCATGAAGGTCACCAGCCAGATGAGCTGAGAACAAAGGGCAGTGGCTGAAGAGTGGCAAAGAGCCATGGGGCTGCCCAGTCCCTGCCCTGGACTCCCAGAGCACTCACCAGATCCGCCCGATTGGCCTTCCAGAGGGAGCACACGTCACTGAGCTGCCCCAGCATGCCCTTCAGGTTCACAATGACGATGGCCGCCAGGACTGCCTGGGGTGGGGGCAGTGCTGCCAGGGGCCATTGAGGGCACCCGATGCTGACAACCCCCCCATCGAGGCATGGCCAGACTGAGCCCAAGCACTCCGACAGAACACCAGACACGAACCCCACTCAGCCCCTGACCCTGACCACTTGGATCTGACTCTGAAAGGTTCTAACCCCTGACCCTTGACTCCAAATCTCACCTTGAAGAGCTCAGCCTTGAAAGACAGGACCTAACCTGTGTCCCCACCCCTCGCCTGAACCTAGACTGGCTGATCTGAGCCCTGGCCTGGCCAAGACCTGAAGCCTGGCTGGTTGGGGGCTCACCTTGGGCAGGCAACGGAAGAGTTCCCCAAGTTTGACAATGATAAGGAGGATGAAAAGGGAAGAGACGGCTCCAGCAACCTGTTGGGGGAGGGGGCAAGCAAGGGGTGAGACCCCCTTCCCCAGGCAAAGCAGTGTGCACGTCCATGTCCACCCTCATGCCCACATCCAAAGCCCACCTGTGAGTTGCCCCCGGTGCTCTCCTGTACCAGGCTCCGAGACATAGAGCAACTCACAGGGAAGCACTGGAAGATGCCTCCGATGAGGTTACTGAGGCCCAGGGCCACCAGCTCCTGATGGAGGGAGTGTGGGTGTGAGACTTAATAGAAGTGCCTGGCTGCTGTCCCACTGTGTCTAGGCCTGTGTATCCCCAATCTCATCCCCACCCAGTGGCCCCCAGAGACTGGATGCTGTCCCACACATCCTGCTCTCCCACCCCTAGTGCCCCCCATGGCCCCAGCACATCTGTTGTCTCCCCATGTCCCACCTGTTCCTCCCCCAACCCGTTGCTGGTGCCTCCATACACCTAGATGCTTCCTACACGTCCCACATCACCCAGACCTGGTTGCTGTCCACCCGGTAGCCGTGCCTCAGGGCGAAGATCTTCCCCAGTGAGATGGCAATGGCGAACCCAACCAGGGCGATGGCGAAGGCACTGCCCATGAGCTTTGAGAACAACTGGGAGTTGGGGGCCACTGGGGGTACCAGCCTGTGAGAGGCATCTGTGAGGCCAAAGCAAGGTCTGGGCCTGGCTACCCAACCCTCCCTGACCTGACAGAGGCCAGAGCTCACCCTGTAGGGATGTTGCCCACGACGTCTACCTCAAATCTGTGCTTCAGACCCACGCCATAGGAGATGCTTGTGGCCCCAATGAGCTGTGGGAGAGGACACAGTTAGGGAGGCAGGTGCTGGCATCATGGTTGGGGGGATGAGTAAACCACGTGGGGTGAGGAGGGAGACATCAGGCAAACCCTTCTTCAGGGGTGGGGTGAGAGATGGGCAACGCCATTTCGGGTATGGGGAGATGCTGTCAGGGGCAGGAAGAAATGAACATAGGGGCTTTCTGCTGTGACCCCCACAATACCCAAGAACTCTCCCAGTCCCCCTCGAGCTGGCCCTCAAACACAGGATGCTGCCCGCGTGGCAGGGACCCAACCTGACCTGCTCTCCCCCCCAGCCCACTGTTCCCTGGCCCTCGAACCGTGAGCAGCTCCCCGGGTATCGGCATGGGCAGCTGCTGCTGCAGCTTGTCATTCAACAGTTTCACCAGCACGAGCACCACTCCCGCCACAGCTGCGGTGACCATGGTGCTGACCATGGTGCCGACCTTGCTCTGGGGCAGCTTCCAGCAGACCTCCAGCACTGTCTGAGGAGAGGCAGGGTCACAGCCAGCACTCAAGGCCACAAGGCACACCTACCCTTCCCTCCCCCTGCCCTCACTCACATAGATGAGGGACAGTGGCCCAGAGTGGCTGCTCAGATGGAGCCCAAAGACATACTTGAGCTGTGAAACGAAGACCTGTACAGCCGCAGCTGTGGTATAGCCTCGGACCAGAGGCTCTGACAGGTAGGTGACCACGAAGCCGAAGTGGACCAGGCCTAGCCCCACCTATGGGGTGGCCAGGGGCAGTCAGGGGAGGCAGGGGTCCTAAGGGTAGCCGACAAGGAGCGCAGGGCAGGTAGGATGGGAGGGGGATGAGTGGGCAGCAAGAGGAGGATGAAGATGGTCGGACCCTCAGGGGAATGCAGATGGGGTAGTGGAAGGGGCAGAAGTGATGGTGGGGGCACGTCCTCCTGACTGTTCCACACCTGGAAGAGGCCGACCAGGACACTGAGTGTGGAGGCCACCTGCACCCGGGCAGCATCTCCATCTCTGGCTGTCTCATTGATCGTGGAGTCATTCAAGGCCTGTGGGGCCAGGGATTCTGTCACACTGCCCACCATCACAGACATAACAGCAAAGGTCCCTGTAAGGATGGCACAGGGCAGGTCTGAAGGGGAAAGGACACTGCCCTGCCCTAGTCTTAAGAGAGAGGCCAGGAGACTTCCACTTCTGGACAAACATCCTCAGACCATGGCTGTAGGAATGGGGGCAGTACTGGGGTTCAGGCATGGCCAGGCCAGGAGTGAATCCTGAGCTCGTGGGCCCTTAATGGTGGTTAGAAATGCTGGCTTTGCCGGGCGCGGTGGCTCACGCCTGTAATCCCAGGACTTTGGGAGGCCGAGGTGGATGGATCACCTGGGGTCAGGAGTTTGAGACCAGCCTGACCAACATGAAGAAACCCCGTCTCCACTAAAAATACAAAAATTAGCCAGGTGTGGTGGCGCATACTTCTAATCCCAGCTACTTGGGAGGCTGAGGCAGGAAAGTCACTTGAACCTGGGAGGCGGAGGTTGCAGTAAGCCAAGATTGCGCCACTGCCCTCCAGCCTGGGCAATAAGAGCGAAACACCATTAAAAAAAAAAAAAAAAAGGATTTGAGCATACATACACTGTGATTCAGCAAATACTCTTGTATATTTTTTCAGGAAGGATTGTCCAGAATGAGTTAGCCTATAATTTAATTTTTTATTTTGAAGTATTTTAAAGTACATCATTTTAAAATACATTAGTTTAAGACAATGCTTATTAGAACAAAAACCTTACCTTTTTGCATCTCTCTCTTAATTTTCACTATAAGATAGCATTTTAACAGTAATTAAGCAAGGGCTCTGAGTCAAACTGTCTGGCTTTATTACTTCCTAATTCCGATACCTTCCTCAAGTTACTTAGGTTCTTTGTACCTCTGGTTCCATATATATAAAAAGGGAATGATAATTGATTTTACTTACTCAGGTGTTCTTTATAACATATATTAGGGGTTATATAATGAACTGGCACATAGGTAGCAGCTAATTAAAATGAGAAGCTCCTATTATGAATTCTTACAAAATGTTTAGTTATAAATTATTTCCATGTTTGATAAGAATTTAAAAAAACACCTTTGGGAAGATAGTTCTTTCATTAATTCAGTAAAGATACATTGAGAGCTTACAATCTGTTAGGCAATGTGCTAAGTATTGGGGCAACCATAAAACATGGCCTTTGAATTAAAGGAGGTCACAAGTAAAGAGACAGGAAATTTTAAGGTGGTTTTTTCCAATTCTGTGAAGAAAGTCAGTGATAGATTGATGGGGATAGCATTGAATCATAAATTACTTTGGGCAGTATGGCCATTTTCACGATTGATTCTTCCTAACCATGAGCATGGAACGTTTTTCCATCTGTTTGTGTCCTCTCTTATTTCCTTGAGCAGTGGTTTGTAGTTCTTGAAGAGGTCTTTCACATCCCTTGTTAGTTGTATTCCTAGATATTTTATTCTCTTTGTAGCAATTGTGAATGGGAGTTCACTCATGATTTGGCTCTCTGTTTGTCTTTTATTGGTGTATAGGAATGCTTGTGATTTCTGCACATTGATTTTGTATCCTGAGACTTTGCTGAAGTTGCTTATCATCTTAAGGAGATTTTGGGCTGAGATGACGGGGTCTTCCAAATATACAATCATGTCATCTGCAAATAGATACAATTTGACTTCCTCCTTTCCTAATTGAATACACTTTATGTCTTTTTCTTGCCTTATTGCCCTGGCCAGAACTTCCAGTACTATGTTGAATNAAAAAAAAAAAAAAAAAAGAAAAGAAAAAAAAAGAAATGCTGGCCCTGCCTCATCTACTCTGTCCCACCTGTGTCTACTGGTCTAGGGACACAGACACTCTCTGTAGAGTAGGGAAGGGGTCAGGGCTTGCCTCAGGCTGGTCAGGCCTCTGCTAAGTTCCAGGGCCCTTGGGCTACCTCACCCACTCACATCTTGCTGGAGCCAGGGCTTTGAGGTCCCCTGCCTCTGTGATCCTATGGTCAGGGATCTAGTCCTGCCTGGGAATGACTCGTGGGCTAGCCCAGGATGCAGCACCAATGCCACCCTCTTCCCCCGCTGCTCCTGCCCTGCTCAGCACCCCCTCACCCTGTCCTCCATGGTAGATGTGGGCATCCTCCTGGAACGCTAGGCCTGCCCCCACTTACCCACAGAGATGTGCCGGGAAGTGCCAAACAGGAAGTAGATGAAGACAGGGTAGAAGGAGCTATAGAGACCGAACACGGGGGGCAATCCAGCCAGGAGGGCGTAGGCCAAGCCTAGGGGTAGAATGGTAGCAGTGTGGGCCTAGAGGGAGGATCTTGAAAAGATAAGGGAATCCCAGCCCTGGGTCAGGTGCCACAGTTCCAAGATACAGGCCATGGCCTCAGTTTTGGGCATCACAGACCACAGGGTTTCCAGGCCAAGGCACTGAAGGTGGCTCACCCTGTGGAAGCTGCATGATAGCCACACTCAGGCCGGATAACAGGTCACCCAGGAGCCAGTCACGCACAGGATACCGGGGTAACCAGACCAAAATCGGGAGGTGTTGGAGCAGAAGGGCATGGGCCCGAGCACGGGAGCACCTGGGGACATGATATGAGGGGTAGGTGGTCAGGAACAGGGGCTACCTGGGCCCTGCCAGCGTCCCCAGACCACAATCTCGGCCTTACTGCAACCAGGTCTGCCACTGGTGGGTCCTAGGTGCTGAGCCCCTGTGCCCCAGTTCCTCCAGTTGCTCCTGGTTCAGCAGCGGCCGTTCCATGTGGTAGTCTCGCTTCCGCAGCTCCATTGCTTGTGTTGTAGGCAGCAGTGCCTGTGTGTCCCTCGGTCTGGGGTGGCAAGACCACAGAGATACAGTGAGGGCACCCCTGGCCCAACCTCCCCCATACCTCCACCTAGGGCTAGAGAGTTACCTACCTGATTTTTCCAGGCCCCAAGATCAAGGTACAGTATTCCAGCCCCCAGCTGGCATCTGTGGGCCACATGCCCAAACCCAGACAGGGGCAGTACCTGAACTTTGGCTGGTGGAAGCCTCCTTCTAGGACAAAGTTCCCCAAGAAGGGACTGCAGGATGAGCATGATCTATACCTCCAGCCAAGTTATGGCTGCCCAGTGCTGGACATTCCACCAGTCCAAGTACCAGGTTGCCCCTCTCCGTGCCAATCCCACTCCCCTAGCCAATCCCTGTCCTGTCCCCCGGTCCTCCTCCAGCTGCCCTGGGAGCCCAGTGCTGGCTGAGAGCACATTCAGGGAAGGGGTCCAGCAAACCAGGGGTCCAGTTCCTCAAGCAACTCCCTTCCCAAGCCTCAGGCCTCAGATGAGACCCACCTCTCTAAGGGAAGGAAAGTATTGGGGCCAAGCTTGCCCCTGGGCCTCCAGCCCCAGGGTCCAGGTGGTAGACAGCTCAGGCCTGGTCTGGGGAAGCCAAGGAATGGCTCTCACCTGAGAAAAAGGTCTTTCTTGGAGCGGGAATCTCTCACCTAGAGGGAGAGGACCCCACCTGGAAAGGGAAGTACCCACTTGAAGTGGGGGAAAGAGCTCACCTGGGAATAGAAGCTTTCAAGGGGAATCTCAGCTAGAGGGATCTCTAACCTGCCAGGAAATGTTTACCAGCCAGGCAAGTTCTGACATAGGGGGAATCTTCCTTCTGCCCAGAGGCTCCTACCTGAAGTCAGAGAAAGCTCTCACATGGGAAGAAAAGACCTAGAGGAAGAGGGTTCTCACCTAGAGGTAACTCTTCCCTAGGGGAAGCTCTGACCTGGGGGGAGGCTCCCGATGGAAAGGGGAAAAGCTCTCACCTGGGAATTTATCTAACAGGGGGATCTTACCTGGGGGAAAGCTCTAGCCTGTGGGAAGCTTTCACCAGTCAGGAAAGCTCTGATCTTGGAAAAGCCCTGACCCGCGGAGAAGATCCCACTCGAGGGACAGGAACTCACCTGGGAGGGCCTCTAACCTGGCTGTACGGTTGAAGGAGTTTGGAGTGGGTGCAAGGAAGATCCTCATAGATTCTCGGCACCGCTGTCTCAAGGAGATCTTAGAGCCCCCTCTCCCCTCCTACGAGAGTCACTCAGGTTTCTTAAAGGACTCCCTCCCCGCACAACGTGGGACACGCGTCTGGAGGGCGGAGCCTTGAGCATTGGCCCCTCCCTTTAGGAGGGCAACTCGGGCCAGAAAGGCCGGGGTGCTCACTCTCCAGGTCAGTGGAGCTGGGTGGACTCGGGCCCTAGCTGAAAGCAGCTAGTCCACTGGCCGCCGCCAGGGACTTCCGGCCCCCACGCAGCCCGGCCGGCACATCTCCTGGCTGGGCTCCTCCGCATGCAGCTGCCACCCTGTGGCCCGAGCTGTCCCTCGGGCAGCACTCCAGCGGCTCTCCGCACAGCCCAAGGGGCTGGGGTCGCGCCGGCTCCCGCCCCCATCCCTTGCAGCCGCCTGCAGAAAATCGGTAAAGAGGTAACCGAGGCGTCGCAAGCGGAGAATGCTTGCTCCAGCTAGGCGCTCGCGGAACTCACCCCGACGCATCCGCCAGCCCCATGGCTCGCAAGCAGGCCGGCGCCGGCGGCTCCTGCTGCTAGGGCGAGAGGCCGCTACGCTCCGGAAGGCGCCGCCGGGACCGGGCGAGGCCAGCGGCGCGCTCCCAGGGCCTAATCCCGGGGCAGGACGGGGAGGCTTGGGCCAATCAGCGCGCTGGGGCGGGGCCTAAGTGGCGCTCTCTGGGCGGGACGAGCTTAAGAAGAAGGATTTAACCGCTTCCTCCCCGGCTGCCGGGGTTTGTGCAGCCCCTAGCTTCTCGCCCGGCCCTCTGCCCCAGCTGGATAGGACTGCAGAACTGGAACTAAGCACCTGCGCTGGATGCTTAGTTCCAGTTCTGCAGTCTGATCCTGCCGCGCCCCCAGGCCCTGAGTAGTTTGAGGCTGATCCTAGGTCCTGGCTCTGGGGAAGGTACTCAAGGAGTGGGAAAGGGAAACTCCAGTGACCGGGAGGCCTAGGAGTGTGGCCAGTAACCCCAGCCTTAACTCTCGTGGGGGAATCCAGGTCTGTGGGGCCTCTCATGCCTCCAACTGAGAGCGCCGCCCTCAGGCTTTCTGAGACTAGGCATGTCTCTGAGATCCGGAGCCGACGGTCCCCAAGACTTCCCCTTTAACTCTGGCCACTCAGGCCAGAAATGGTTGAAGGATCCCCTCCACTGCATTAAGTACAGCCGGGACATCGCTCCCATAAGGTTCGTGCGCGGGCCGCCGAGGAGGATGGTGGGGGTCAGTGCTGGTGACTGGCAAGGCAGGAACTGCAAGAGCAGTTCCTCAGGTTGGTTTCACTCCGGGTGAGGGTAAAAAATGCCGGTCCAGGGCTGCAGACCCTGAAGAATTAGCAAGTCCTGGTGCTGCTGCCTTGACCAGGGGGCAGGTTCTCCTCAGCACCTGTGCTCCAACTTCGGGCCCTAATCACAAGGTGAGGGGCCGGATTTCAAGGTGAAAGAGATGGGACTTGGTCCAAATCTGCCATGAAATGGGCTAAAAATAGCTGGATATTCCTGGGAGGGGCTCAGATTCCTCCCAAAGGTCAGTCTGGATTGAATCTTTCACAGCCGCCATCCTACCTCCCCAGCCCCCAACAGGAAAAGGCAACAACTGTTTTCTATAGAAGTTTATTCCCAAAACAGAGCGCGGCTTCACGGAACAATTTACACAGACAGGAAAGGGGGCCGCTGGGCTGGAGGTGGGGAACCCCCAAAGAGGGGCATCTAGGAAACCTAGGACATAGCAAAGACACCCTCCCACCCCCAGCAGGCCACTCAGCCCTTCAGGAGCTGGGGTCCTTCTGGGTAGGGAGAGCTTGGGGTCCTGGCTGGTGGGATTTAGCTCCAGTCAGTGAAGTAGAATTTCTAATCTCCCAGGAAACTGCCTCCCAAGAGTATGCATGGGGTGGTGGGTGAGGAGGTGTCTGCACAGACCACCCCCCAACCCTGCACAACCACTCCCCAGTGGTAAGAGGGCGTCTACTCTCAAGGTCTTCCGGTTTGCTGTTAAACAGGGGACTCAAGGCTGACCTTTGGCCTGAAAGAGCTGGGGGTTAGAAAACCCCTCAAGAGGCCAGGTCCAGGGTCCTCACAGGTGGGTCCTCCAAGTCCCTCTCCCACTTTCCCTACCTTTCATTTGTAAACAAAGGAAAAAGAAATTCTCTACTGTAAACAAAGTGTAAAATCTCAGTTTTGAATTGTAAACAAAGTAAAAACATTTTTTGAATCTGGACTTGTAAACAGTAACAAAATTTTAAAGTCTCCAGTTCTGGACAGCAGACAAAATAGCAAAAGTAAGAGTTTTGTGAACAGGGTCCTAACAGTCATTTTTCCCTTTTTAAGGGAATCAAGAAGGAGTGGAACGGAGTCACTTCCTGCAGCCCAGGTGCCTAGGGCCACGGAGGATCCTGTAAACATAGGAGGCAGTGGCACCTACATTCTGGGTCTTGAATTCCCTTGTTTCTGCTCCCTTTGCTCACCTTCCCACCCTACCCTTCAGAATCAGTTCAAGCAGGGGGCAGTGTCAGGGAATCAAATGGCACCACAGACAATTTTGCTCGCCGCAGGGGCAGGTGAATGACCCCTCCACCAACCCTCTGCAGGAATGTCTGACTAGAGGCCTGAGCCCCTCCCTGTGGGAGGCAGGGAAGCCTTGCTCTGTAAACACGACATCAGCTGCTCCACTAGCACCCCACAGCATCAGTCCTAGGTCATAAGGCAGTAAGTGGCGGGGACTCCACATAATAAACACACACATCCACCAGGAGAGGCGGCATGAACAAGCCCCCATAAGGAAGTCTGAGGACCTCTGTTTCCAAGACCAACCCCCAGGCCCAGAAGTTTGGACCTTGGGGCATTCAAGAAAAAGCAAAGAACAATTCTGTACTTTGACCCCTGATGATATTCAGATCAACCTGGGGGCGGAGTAAGGGGAGGAAGGCATGTGTCCCACCCATCTGACTCCACCCCAGGAAGAAGAGAGAGATGAGCATATGGTTTGCTAAGGACCCAAATGGGGCCAAACTGCATCTGTCTCCCTCTGTCTCCCTTCCCCTCCCAGCCCAGCCTCAAACCCCCCAGGAGACAGAAAAGCTGAAAAATAACATAAGCATCTCTCTGGTTACAAAGGTACAAAACGTATAAAAGTCTCCCTCCAGCCCCCCCCCCCGCCCCCGCACCTGTCACACGCATGCTCACAGATGCGCATGGAGCATCAGCCCTGTCACACCGGAGAGAGCTGGGGCACACGCCGCTGGGGAGCAGGATGCTGCCTTGGGATCCACCCCCACTCCTGGAGTCTCTCCTGTTAGCCCAGATCCTCCGTCACCCTCAGCTGTTCCTCATCCATGCTGTCGTCCCCTCAGGAGTGACCCTCACTTCTGGGAACTCTGGAGGCGCATGAGGAAATCAGAGGTTGATGCCGAGGACTCCCGGTCAGGCGGTACTGGACTCCACACTTGGCCTGGCTGCTCCCCTCGCCTCCACCACTGCCCTTGCCTCTCAGCCCCCAGCCCCTTCTCAGAGTCCTCTATTCCACATCCCTAGACTCGCTGGCAAGGCTCCTTGGCTACCCAGGTCTTCTCTCTAAGTGCTTCAAAAATACCAACTGTGTACAGATGGTATGTTGAGCACTTGATAGACAATCGTCTCATCGATCTCCACATCTCAAAGAGTTTGTTACTACAGACCCCTTTACAGATGAGGAAACTGAGGCCCAGAAAAGCCTGCCTCTGCCCAACGTCACACATGAGGTTACCTCATGAGGTAAGACACAGAGCTCAAATTCAGACCTGTGGGACTCCAGAGCCAGGACCCCTGCTCAGCCCCTAGTCACCTTCCTACACAGCCAGACCCCAAAGCTACACTGCAGGGGGGCCCAGGCAGTGGGTTAGCTCCCTCTGGTCCCCACCAACCAGCAGCCCTCAGTGCCCAGGCCCAGGACCCCCAAACCCCTGTTCCTTCCTCCTTTCTTGTGCTCTCTCTGCCCTGGGTCCTGCTCAGTTCTGTTGGTCCCCTGTCCCACCCCCCAGGGGCCTCTTCCTCCCCAAGCCATCTCTTGTCCCACAAAACCCCAGAGCCTGACTCAGCTGTTTTTCCTCCTTGAAACTCAACTTTCCTCTTGGGTTACAAGATCTGGCAGCTCCTGGTTCCTCCCCACTCCCACCAGTCCCTCACGGACTTGTGTGTATCCAGCTACTTCCTGGGTCTCTCTGCCATCCCCATCCCCAGATGCCCCTGAGATGAACAGGTCCCAATTCAGTTCCTGTGAGCCCCACCCCAAAATGTCCACAGATAGGAGGAACTCAATATTGACTGAATACATCGATGAATGAATGATTTATCCTCAAAAAAGTAAGCTCTTCAGCCTGGTATATCCTGGCACCACTTCTAGCCTCTCCTTGTCTTATACGATCCCCTAGGCGAAGCCTCCCAAGCAAGGCCTCCTGCTCTCCCACACTGTCCCTTGCATATTCCAGGTCACCTCCCACTTCTAGGCCTCAGCTCCTGCCCTCCCCTTCACTTGCTCAACCCATTGGAAGGTATCTATCTCTCCTTAGCCTGGGAGATGCTGGGAAGGGTGGCTGGCCACAGTCACACAGCCGGCAAGTCCCTGCTAGTCACACCCCTATTTCCTGCTAGATTCCTGTCCTCAGCCTATGGCCCTCTGGCTGTGCTGAGCCTAGGGTAGCCCACAACTGTCTGCGAACCCTCATCCCCTTCTGTGGCAGAACACAGAGCAGGGTACCCAGGAGGTTGCCCTAAGTTGAAGAGGGTGCGAGCAGGTGGCTGCTTACTCTGAGTCGGGCGACAGCTCTGAGATGCTGTGAGACGTGGCAGAGCGTGGCGTGGAGGGCCCAAGCACAGAGGCTGTGGCAGAAGGCGTGACAGTGGTCTGAGGGCCCGAGGGCGTGCTTGAAGACTGCATGGAGGAGAGGGCCGAGGAGTTGAAAGAGGCGAGAATGGAGGAGAGAATGTCCAACTGCTCTGTGGAGGGGCCATGGCTGGGGCCACTGGCTGGGTCCTCCCTAGCTCTGAGCAGCTGTGGGGGTGGCCCAAGGGCTTCTCGTGAGGGGTGCCGGCTAGACGCCTGGTCCAGCCGCTCCCGGGAGTTCGAGCTCTTAGACAGCGGGTCCAGCGGCCGAGATGGCAAGAGGGGGTCCCTTGAGAGTTGTCGCTGGGGAGATAGGGGCAGAGGTGGGGGTTGTGGGTCAAGGTCCCGGGCACGGCGGGGCGGGGGCAGCGTGCTCAACCACTCTCGAGGCGCCCCTAAGTCCAGCGCATCCCGTGACCCGAAGCGGCCAGCCATGATCCCAGGGTAGTCCCGAGGTGGCTGCCTCCGCGGCAGAGTGCTGCCCCGATCTCTGTGCTCCAGTCGGCCCGGTGCAGCATCCATGCGTTCCTGGGACCCTGGCCG